AGTCTGATTGTGTGTATGAAATTTAAGCTTTCCAAATATACAATATTAATGAATGCGCCCACGTTTTAAGATGTAGAACTATATGAAATGGTCGAAGTGAACAAATTTGAAATTCATGTATGATCATGACTTTAGCATGAAACTTTCAAATCAATCTCAAATTTTCAAACCAATATCCTTTGAACCCAATGTAAAAGTTATAAAGTATTTTATAGTGAAGGCGCACTAATAGTTTCAACTTCCTTTATTTAAACCCAACAATAATTGCCAAACTAGAAGTAACTCAGTAGCACATTGTTGAAGACCTTGTATATGAATATCACAATAGCCAAGGGTTCGAGTCTCAGAAGAGTTAAATGTTGCTTTCTGTTTACTTTTACGAACTTTAAACAAAGCTTTTAGCCTCTCATTATAAACATTGTAACATCCATGCAGAAGAGTCATCAAAACTGTACCCTTGGCTTCAATAAAAAGCTCTTTGATTTTGGTCTAACTGCTGATGTTTGGTGAACCCACATTGAAGTTCATCTCAAATAAAACTCAAGCATTCACGTCCACAACAAATTTATTCAACTTAAAGACAGCATCTGTTTATGCTGAAACTTGAACAGTCGTAAGACAAAACTTTTGAATTTGAAACATGCATGATAACATGACGGAATTAATCAGAGAAGTAAAAACTTTCTTTCCACAAAAAAACTTTTCTTCCTATCATCAATTTTTGGTTCGTACAAAAAAAAATCCTTTTCACTGAAACTCAAACTTTTTTGTTTTGCTCATGTGTATATTCTTACTGTGCAAGACTGATGAACGATTGCGTACGAAATCTTTCTCCTCTTCTTTTTAACAACCATGAAAATTCAGATTGTATAATGTTTTTTTTAAGGAAGTAAGGAAGAAAAAGATTTTTCAAAGTCATTTCTTGTGTCCGTGAGAAAGGGATGAAGAAGATGATAAAAGAATCAAATCTGATGATTCATAGGGTGCATTAAAAATTAAATGATACTCTGTGACCTTTATCATATATGAAGTATGTCATACTTTATTTATGGAATGTCTGATGTTAATTTCAATGAATATCCTTCAAAAATAAAGTTTTAATAAAGTTGTAAAATGCAAAAGCATCATTATTGCTAATCTCTTACATAAGAAACAATACGATTATAGGTTCACTTTGGCTGGCTGGTAGCCTCAAAAACTCTGAACTGGAAGAACTTAGAGACTTCTTAATTAGTTCTTTTCTTTTCATTTAATTTACATCCTGAAACACAAGAACAAATAGCAAGCAAGATGTTATAAGACAATCACTTAAAATTTATTTAATTTAATACAGATCAAGCACAAAAAAATCTTTTAATCCTCTTCCATTTTTGTTTTTTGCTTCGAAAGTTGAGCTATTAAGTATGAAATTGGATCAGCTGGACGCTCTTTGGCTAATGCTTTCAGTGCTGGTAACAAAATAGGGTTAACAATTTGGTCTAAATATTGACGTGTAGGTAAGCTATTTAAATCAGCTTTCTTCTTCTGCTGTTCCATTTCTTGATCTTGTTTTCTAATATAAAATAATGGCTAGTATTGGTTTTCTGGGTATTTGTGAATAAAATTTGATTCTACCTAATAAATTTTCAGTAAATCCAACGTTTTGTGTCCTTAATTAAGCTATATTTGCTGATATTTTAATTTTGAAAATTCACAAAATGTTTGTTTACAAGGGGATTAACAACATTAGAAAAAGTGTACAAATTGGTACAAATGTTCACATTCCCCCCTCGTTTTTAAATTAATTTTATTCGTTATTTCTTAAATTTATGAAAGGTACCAAAATACAGAAATTTATTAAATTAAAATAATGATGAATGTAATTTTCATTTAATCCGTAGCTATTTGATGCTAAGAGACTCTTCACAAGCGTTCTATAATGCACTTTTGTACTTGATTAAAATGCTTGTTTTACATGAAAATCAGCTTTGGGGCCGTTCACTTATTACGTTACGCAAAAAACGACTTTTTTCACCCCCCCTCCCCTTGTTACAATATGTTACAACTCACAACCCCCCCCCCCCCCCCCCCTGAACGTTCATAATTTATTTTATTTTGATAATTTTTCATAAATCATTAAATAGGTGAAAAATTGGGAAAATTTAAAGAAATTTTTTTGACCCCCCCCCCCCGTATGTTACATTTTGCTACAATTTTTCAAACCCCCCTCCCCCTTAAATGCGAACGTAATAAGTGAACGGCCCCTTTAGTCGTCCGTGAATTGGGATGATCATATGAATTGGTTTAAAGACTAGCCCAAAATCTATCCAGCTCCAATAATTATATACACAACCAAATTTTATAGCTTTCTTGTCACTTGAGGTTCTATACACAAATAAGCACAAGATAGCCACCCCACGCACATCCATGGATTTCTCTATTTGTAATAAAAATCTCACAAATTCAGCCATTTTCATGTACAAGCTCTTCAAAAGCTCAAACACATTTAGTGGATTTGAAGAGCTCTATACAGTAAGAGCATTCATATCGAATGCAGACAAGCACAATCGAATAAAATTGCGAACATTTAATAACAAAAAAAAAAAAAAAATCCATTCGATTTGTTGAATCGATTATTTGAACAGCAATAAACCTCAATTGCTGAAACAATGAGCATGAGATAAGTGAACTGCAATTTCATGCTGGAAATATTATTTATTTTATGCAGTTTATTGTTGTGATGCACAAATTAGTTCCTTTTCAATAATCATTTGATAAAATTATAAAATAGTAAAAACCAAGCACGGTCATGAGCATTAGCAACAGCAATGACAAGAGTTATAAATCATTATCATCTGCAGGAGACTGATAGAACTGACCTAATGGATTATATGTGCAATGAAATATTCATTCGAGAATATAAATGTGAATATGAACATTGATTTACTATTTTAAAAGCTAGACTGTATGAAAATTTCGGTTCGCAAGCAGGGAAATGAATGTCACTCAAGTTCATGAATGAATTTCGATTCTATAAATAAGTATTATTGTTTTATCAGGTTTTGTGGTTGATATAGTTTGAAAATTTATTGTTTTTTCAGAAATTTATAATATTTAAATCTTTCTGAGTAACAATCAGGATAAAAGTCAAGTTTTAAAGAGAATCGAATTATTATTATTATTTATTTGTCGACGTTACCGTCCGGAAGAATTAGGTATTTATACATGTTTTACTTTTTACATTGATAAGTGATACATTTCATATCACTATGGGTGACGTAGAATCAAGCTTCTAATCTTCAAATCTAGGTTTCGATTAAATTCAGGCTCTCGTTTCAATCTTCTGTGGGCGTGACGTGATCCATTTCAGGTCCGTTCTGACAATATTCCATTATAAGGTAATCTTGTAGCTCTCGTTCCTATTTCTCCCGCTACACTTCAAGTTCCTGATCCGTTCCTTAATCCAACGTTGCCCAAAATGCCCAATTATGGCTTGATCTCGTACATTAAGCAGTCGAAGTATCTAAACTTCTGAAAAAGAACAAATTTAGAAATGGCTGGATTCGAACCGACGACCTTCGAGCTACCATACCAAATTTGAGCCAAGCGACTTACCTATTCGTCCAGCAAGGCACTTAACTGCATGAATTTGATTCTTCATTAGAGAACATTGCAGCTGATCTCAAGGTCAAGTTTTTATAATATTACACTATAGAGCTGATTCGTATAGGGGTCGTTCACTTATGACGTGCGAAATTAACGGTCATTTTTCAAAAAAGAACAATTGATTTTTATGAATTTCTATTGTTTTTTTCTTGCTGACCCCCCTGGACATCATAAGTGAACGGCCTCCTAGGTAAATCTGCCTTTTAAGTTGACATGCCATTAATAAAGAAATTATCCCTGCTCGCAATCCATTAAACCATAAACAACCCATCATTATTTGGCAAATTATACTTTTATATCCCAAAAAATTACATTCATTTGTCATAAACTAACCATATTCACACAATAGTCAATTAACCTACCTGTCATTCTATTTTAGCAAACAAAATAATGACAATATAATAGTCAGGGGATTTAATTGAAATGACGAAAAAGCGTAGAATTGGATGATTTGAGTGATGAAATGATTATGAAGCTTGCTCATCACTGCAGACTAATATTTAAAAATTTTATTTTAATTAAAAATCGCACTTTTCCAATTCCACGAGTGAATTTTAATGTGAACGATACTTTATCATTCTAAACTAGCTGAAGACTTACTTTATTCTGGCTTATATGGCAGGATCTTATATGGCTTATATTTTATCTAACAGTAAAATTTGCAGGTTTTGTAATGTGAATAAGGAAACAATCATTCATATACTTTGTAAATGTAGGACATTACGAGGACAACGTGTCAAGCATTTTGATGAGGACTATTTGAATGATGAAGATATAAATAAACAGCATTATCAGGACATTATTGGCTTTACTAAGGACATTGGAATTCTAGCATAGGAGAATCGGGATGGTACAACAGATCATCGATTGCAGTGCCGCTTTTGCTATAAGCAAAACCCTACATTACATTCTATTCAATTCTATATGGCAAGGCTTGAGACAATTTTTTTGAAGTAAAGTTGTAAGGTTCAGAATTTTTTTTATCAAATTCATAAAGAATTAAAATTTACTTCAAAAGTAATATTTGAAGTCCAGAATCAGGAATCTCCCTTATTAAACGATCTAAAGCTAATTAAACAAAACATAACTTTTAAGCAACTCTTATTCAAAATCAACAGCACAAAAAAAAGACTAATTATTTGCAAGATAAAAGATAAAACTCGGCATGAGCCCGATAGAACTTTTTCATAATTTACTGTTTACTTTAACAGAACTTTTTTAATCACGATCATCTTTTTTTGTATTTAACGAATCTTTCGTGGTATTTGTGTGTGCAACATTGCTCATTTATACACACCCGCTTTATTTATTTCATTGCTATTTCCTCCGTTACAGTCAATTGTCTATTGTGTTCTCCAAAAATGATCTCGTTCACGTACAAATTGAATCGGTTTGTATGGAACTCACTGTGCATACAAGAAATCTTATCGTTACAATGAGTGAACATCCAAAGTAACTTACTGTCTTTTTTATTCGCATATATGTGAGTACTTCTCTCAACCTTACCTTAATTCTTGTGTTGTTAATGTATATACATTCATAAATTTTCTAAGTTTTTCTTTACTATTTTGTTTTTTCGTCGTATTTATTCTTTCAGTTTAATGTTAAATTCAATGGAGAAAAGACGGTGCGCGAGCTCATTGAGCTAATAAAGAATCTTTTCTCAAGAAATTTAATTTAAAAATTATTTCAATAAAATCAATATGTTTAGGAGATTGTGGAAGTTTTATAGTTTAATTTTGTTGATTGTCATAAACAGTTGCGGAATCTCATCTGCTCAATTTAGCACGGACTTGTTCTATAAAGAAGTATGAGATGGAAATATATTTTAATGAATTTAAATAAGCGAAAATAAGAAGCATATAATCACTGCTTGAATGTTGTAAAAATCCTTTCATCATTGCTTCATTTAAGCGTTAGTAAGAAGTAGATTAAAAAGAAAAATCCCTGAACCTTTTTAAAAATATAAATTGTTGCTAATTGTCATGACCGAGTGACACGAAATAATTAAGAGGAAGTATAAAAGCAATCAAGAGATAATCCTAGCTAGATATGAAAACATATTATTCTTTTGCGGATTTATAATATTTTTATAAACCGACTTTTAAGTAGACGAAACAGCTAGTTCCAGAGGATTGCTTCAGTGGCTGAGCAATAAGCTGGAAATCTGTAGCCGTATCTTTTTGAAGACCCTATTTCGATTTTCTATAAATATTGATAACTCAACGATTCCTTACATCAGTAATGGCCAACCTATGTTCCACGGCAGTATGTCGTGTGCAGTTTCGTCATGGCTTATCACCAAGATGTGCCGTAGAACAAAAAAAGGTTACCCACCACTGCCTTAGAGTGATGTCATAGTTCCAAAGATTTACACAATGTTCAGCTTCAAGATTATTCTGTATTTCACTGCTAGAGGATGCATTGTTAAACTATTGGCCTAGCATAAACAAACTTAGCAATGCCTACCAACTTGTCACAACTGAACCTAAATATGTTACGACAACTTTATTAAAAATCTAATTTAACTCATTGTCATCATGACAAGCTAGAACTTCCTATCCATTTACCTTCACAAAATATCATTCTACATGATAACATCATTCATAGCCATGACATTGCCATGCTCTACAAAAAACGCAGTCGTGCTCACAATTTTGACAATGCAAAATATAAAAACTGCTATTTCATAATAGCCATATGTCTATTAGAAGCATATCTCTAGGCATCGTATAATCTTGTGTCACTCGGTGTGAATTTAAAAATTGAACACGAACGATATGTCGCATGAAAAATCACGCATATGTTACAGCAACTTGCTCGACAATTACAGGCTCTTTTTGTTACAATTCTGTAGAAACAGTTTTAAAAAACACTCTTTTTTTGTCGTCAGCATTAACAGTAGCATAATTGCCATTATCATCATGTGCTTTGCTGGTGCTTTTAAACCTACCACAAAATGGAACTGTTACTGTGATTCTTGTTGTGTGGAATTTTCTTAATGAAACTACAGACTGTAGTACGAAAAGTTTTTAAAGTGGAAAATTCTTGCCTGAAAAGTGCTGTCAAGTGAATTCTTAAAAGCTATAATTAAGGTCTTGTGTGCTTTTTAAAATGAATATAAGTGAATGTTGAACATTTTGCAAAAATTATGGGAGACTAAGGGAAATTACTGCTATGGGTTAGGAGTATGATTGCCGAGCAGCACAAGTCGGATAATCTAGACGAAATCATGCACTAGGATGACGTCGTCCAGGAGGATCTCGATTATCTGACTTGTGCTACTCGGGATTAAGACAGATTTCAGCTTGTTCTATGGAAATTGAGAATTCGGTGTTGTTCTGACAACTTATATAGCTTATGTATACACTTGGTATTAATACCTTACATTTCTTAAAGATTTCTAGTAAGATACAAAATGTCATGACAGGAAGTTATGGGATTTTTGGAATAAGTTATAAGTGTGTACGCCTTGAATTTATCAATGTACAACAATAATCTTTCTTTATTTCAAATTTGGAATTATTGTAGTTTAAGTTACATTTCTTTGAGTCTTATTTTGACACCAGCCTGAATATGGCTTTAATTCAACTATATCTTGATTAATTATTAATTTTGATGATTGAGATTTACATATATCATGAAAATGTGGCATAAAAAGTTTAAAAAAAGTTGCCGAGCGAGAAAAAAAAAAAAAAAAAAAAAAAAAAAAAGCTTTTTTTTAAGCTTATGAACTACGTTAATAAATTATTTTTGAACTGGCTTGTTCGGTGCTGGTGGGCAGCTCATGAAGCCATACTTCACCATGATTTTAAATGCAGTTCCTTGAGGTGCATCCTTTGGGATCTTTCCGGCTTCGTCGACGAAACTGCAGAACTGATTTATTGTTTCTTCAATGTTGGGGATTCTCTTTAGACGTTCTTGAGCTTCTGTGAATTTCTTGAAAAGGCTTTCATTCTTTACTGCTTCGTTGAGTTTCTCTGCATAACTGATATTATTGATCAGTTGTTGCTGATTAATCTCTTCTTGAAATGTTGCTGATGAGTTACTTGCAGCATTCACTGGTTGTGAATGAGCAGAAACTTGATGTCGTTTGCTTAACGATGGAAAATTGTTACTGTCCAAAAGACTTGATATCTGTGGCAGCATTTTGAGTTGTGGTTTGGCTCTTGACTTTTCGATTCTTTTGGAATACGAAATGAACGATGGGCACAGTCTATAACTGGCAGCATGATCGCCATTGCAATTAATGCACTTGGCATTTCCATCACGAGTGAATCGTTGACATTGATTTGGTCCGTGAACTTCCGTGCACTTGACGCATCGGAACTTAAATCCACAATTTTGAGATGAGTGACCCCAACGTTGGCAGTTGAAGCACTGCGTTGGGCTTTTGTTGCCCTTCTTGATGTTCTCCCACTTGACGATGATGTTGTCGATGTTACGGTGGTTATGATTGAGCACGTTGATGTTCACACTTTCATCTTGAAAATGCACAAGATAAAAGGTGAACTCGGGCTTCTTGACGAGAATTGTCACTTTGACAGCTGAAACCTTGGCTTCTTGAAGTAATCTTAGTACTTCATTCGTTGGTGTTTCGTAAAATCCTTTCAGAACGAATGACTTTGTTTTCTCCGATTTCTCGGAGAAGGTGTGGAATTGAATAGTTTGAGACCGCAGAAGATTTATTATTGAGGCCTTATCCTCAATAGACTTGACAATTACTTGAGTTGTATTTGATGATGAAATTTTATATGCAGGCATAACCTGTAATTTCAATAGTGAGATTAATTTTCTCACATCCTTGAGACTGCATTGCACAAATATTGGCTTGACTGAAGTTGTTGTTGTGACTGGAACCGATGATTCCTCTTTCTGAGGCGATTGCTTCCTCTTCTTGGAATTTTCATTAGATTTAATTGGGCTTTCGTCCAAATCAATTTTTGGCGACAAATCTTGCTTTCTTTTGACTTTCCTCATTTTCCTTGAGGAAAACACAACCCTTGGCACTTATTAAGAGGTTTTTCTCAACTTATAACGACTTGGAAACTGTTAAATTCTATCAATGTACAAATTTCATTATTTTCCTGTAAAACTTTGCATGAACACGACCAAAAATATCACAACAAAATTATTCTTCTTCTCTATTCATAACCTCAGCTGCATTCGTACCACACAGACACAACACAGCAAGAAATGTTTGTCTATAAATTTTCATGTTCTGCTTTAATTAATTCTACATTACACAAGACAATGCCGCAAAGTTACGGTATTAATAGTAGAGAATCAATAATGTCACACTTACAGTCTACAATTATGTACGTTACTTTCACTATTTCCTATCATTAGCTACGTGAGGTGACAAAAAATAAAATAAATTTCTTTTATCCTCCAGAAAATTCAAGACTTCATAGCGACTAGATGTTTAAAAATATATCAGAAATAAAATAATGGGTTACCTTAGCGGAATCACTGAATCGATTAAATACCTTCCATTTTCATACAACAATAGCATACGAGATGATTTTAATAGAACATAAAAATAGTACACACAAAAACAAAATTACCACAAATAACAAATTGTACTTTTTTCATGTTGGTGCTGTGACTGTTTTGTATTCAACATGCGACATGTAACCCACAAAAAATATTCAGCAAGCTTAAATGGCGTGAATTATTCTTTTTTACGTCACTAATGTGAATGTAGCATTATCATGACTCCCTTTCTTCTGTCTCGCAAATTTAACATTATTAAGCAAAGGGGCCGTTCACTTATAAGTTCGCATTTTAGGGGGGGGGGGGGGTGTCAAGAAGTATGTAACGTTCTAACTGTCGTCTGTCTTTTAAAAAAAGTTTGAAAAAATTATGAACGTTCAGGGGGGGTGGGGGGGGGGGGGTGGAAAAAGTCGTTTTTGAATTTGGGGATTTGTCATTTAAATTAGAATAAAGATATCCTTTAAATTATATTTGTACATCTAAATTTGAATCATATTCATCACTAAAATGCAGAATATGCTGCCAATCTCGTTTGTTCTACCGCAAACAATAATTAGTATCACTTCCAATCCCTCTCATCACTAAGTACATTCAATTACATCCCATAAGAGCATTTACACACTTACAACCACTCAAATCCTACATAATACCAATTAATTTTTACATCTTACTTTAAAAACTCTTGTCGTTTAAGCCTGCAAACGACAATCTCGGCGATGTGGTACAATTTTTGCGTGAATATGATCGCGAAGCATCTGATACATGTAATCGGTAATAAGATACTTTTCTTTTATTGCATCATTACGTAAAATAATTAAGGGTAATCTTGTAATTCCATTAGGATTGCAACAGCTGAGTGGAAGTATGCAACAAATGCGACAGATTTTAATCGACGTCGTATGAAAGAACAACAGAATTTGGCATCAAAGTTTGAGTGTATAAGTTGGCGGAGAGCATCAAGATATGACACATCGAGGATTTTAGAGAATAATTTGAGGAGGCAATTGGACAGGATTGTGTATCAAGGGAAGTGTGGATTGGGAGATGAGAAGCATTTGGAGGTGAGAATTTATAATTAAAAGGTTAGAATTTTAAATTTAGACTATAGACCAGTGGTTCTCAAGCGGTGTGCCTATGATCTATGACTTTATAAAGATTATGAAAATCATTTAATATGCCGCGAGACTGTTTTGGTGTGGCGCGAAAATTTTCTTGTAAAAAATGGGCCGTGAACCAAAAAAGTTTTTGAAACACTGGTTACAGACATTTAAAGAACATGATCCTCCTCTACGTCTACAAACAATCATGAAGCCATCCTTATTGTTATTCAAAATTATGAGTTGTACATGATCCATTAAGACGATTACATGAACTAGTAATTTATTAAAATATTTAATAGTCCAGAGTTCATTTATTCAAGTGCCATAATCCATACACAATGCTGATTATAATTACATACATTATTTAATTCATTCTCATTTTCCGCTCGACTGCATCCACGCTTTTTAAAGGCATTATTTTTGCATGACTTTTCAATTGTGCTGCCTGTTTGTGATTGCAATCGTGCTGATTTCGAGAAATAATTATTCATTGAACATCTGATGTATAATGCGACATTTTGATGGAATCGCTGTGATTGCACTTGAATTTTTGATTTTTCAATGCATTTTCAATTGAATTTTTTGAGGTTATGTTATGATTTTCTGAAGAAGCTATTTCGTGGCAGATACTGCAAATTTGCAATGTTCTCATTAATTATTTTCCACACAAAATGTTGAGTATAACCTCAAGATCATCACGTTCAAAACAACCATAACCAGATGTACCACAACTCATCACCCTCAAGCATCGAATATTTTGGAGTAAAGCTTGCTCTTTCATAATTTTGAATGGGATACCGAGTAGTATATAAAAGATTGTTGGTATTCTATGGGATAGTTTCTATTGACAGTGAAGGATCTATTTTAGTTTCGAATTTGATGTGCTTGTCGATATTGAACTGAGGTTCGATCTCATGCCTATTCTTGGCCTCATGTCTGACCTTAACAGTGCAAACCCGACTCCAAGTTGTTAAACTATTAAAACCTAGACAATACCATTAATGTCCTTTAAGCCATCAATGTGCTGCACGGATCTGTGATTACATTGCAAATAATTTTTTTTTAAAAAAAAATCCTCGAGCATTATGCATGCGATGTATCCTTATTATCATAAATAATAATATTCCAAAATCCCCCTCAATATCTTCGATTCTGTAAATTTGCTTTTCAAATTTATCGATATAATAATCGATGTAATACAGATGCTTATCAAAATGAATATTGGATGTAAGTTCAAGTAAAGCTCTGAAAGGTCCGAGAGGATTGTGCATGGATAAATGTTGAACAAAACGGAGACTCAGCTGTAATAATTTTCGAATTTTGAAAGCTTTACGATTGGGTTGAAAAAATGTATTAGAATTTATGATAATTCTACTGTATTGCCATTACTGTGAGGATGTTTGGAGAATTTTTGAGAGCTTATTACTGAAGATGGGTTAGGTTGGATGCACTCTGTGTTTGCCAAGGTAACGATTTTAAGCTATAATACACATCCTTAAACTTCATCAATTATTCATTTCATAAATCAAAATTTTGATTGATAAGCCTTAATTAATTATTTCCAATTAAATATCCTGTCAATCTCAAAACTGATTTTGCAATATATTCATAACTTCCATCCACAGATAACTCATGTAATAACTATGATGAAAGACAATTACAATCAAGTTCGAGTATGTCCATATCGAGCTGGACAAACAAATTTATATTCTGATGGACATAATATAACATCATATCATGCATATTGTGATCTTCGACTAGAGCCAGACCTAACAAGCATAATGGAACGAAGCCGTAATGAACGTGAACTCAAATACGCTTGGACAGAGTTTCGTGAAAAAGTTGGTCCTCCAAACAGGAACACATTTATGCGTTATATTGACCTAGCAAATCAGGCAGCAGTACAGCACGGTTTTCGCGATGCAGGTGAACAGATGCGAGAAGTTTATGAAGATCCAGATTTCTTTTTTACTGTACAAGATTTATGGACACAAGTTCAGCCACTGTATAAACAATTGTTCTCGTTCGTGCGAAAAGGATTGTACATAAAATATGGCGATAATGTACTCCGAAGTGATGGGCCAATACCAGCCCATATACTTGGCAACATGTGGGGACAAAATTGGCGCAATATTATAGATATAATAAAACCACATCTAGAAACACCTGACATAACAGGTGAAATGATTAAACAAGGCTATACACCAACAAAAATATTTCAAGTTGCTGAAGAATTTTTTACATCTCTCGGTTTACCACCAATGTCACCGGAATTCTGGCGTAATTCAATTATTCAAAAGCCAAACGATGTTTATACACAATGTGCTGCTTCTGCATGGGATTTTTGCAATTTACTCGATTTTCGCATTAAACAATGTACGCAAATTTCATTGGAGGACTTTATAAATAGTCATCATGAAATGACACATATACACGTGAGTACACAAGAGGATGAGGACGTGCTGTTAATTAAAATTATATTTTCGTGTTTATCATGAAAAATTTGAGTTGGAAAGTTATGGAAAAGGCTACAATTTTGGGATGTTTTATTCAAATGCTGCTGTATTATCCATGAACCATAATTTATCAAAAAGCGCCTTATGCACCTTATTTCTAACTTCAACTGCCTCTGATTAACATCTATTATTACATTATTTCATTACAGTACTACATGCAGTACACAACACAGCCGTTTATTTACCGTGACAGTCCGAATCCAGCATTTCACGAAGCAGTTGCTCATGCCATTGCACTCAATGTCGGCGGTCCTGTACATTTACAAAAAATTGGTCTCTTATCATCACCCATCTCAGCATCAAATGGCAATTCAATGATTAATATTGAATATTTACTCAATGTTGCTCTTGATAAATTACCTTTTATGGCTTTTTCATTGACAGTTGAGAAGGTGAGTGAGAATTTATGTTACGAATGGAAATGGATGTGTTATATGGGTAGGATATACAGGGAAATTGGATCAGGAATAATGAGTTTTTGAAAAGAGAATCAATTGATTGATTAGATTACAATGTATGTAAAATTTCCCTGTTGTGAGTGATAAATGTAATTAAAGAGTTACTGGAATGGAAAAAAAGCTTATTGAGTTTCAGTATCAAAACCCAAAAAATTAATTCAATAGGATTAAATCATCTTAATTCCAATAAACCAAAATTACAACCCAAAATTCCATCAAAATTGACATGCGGTTTTGCTGGTTAAACTTAAATTCATGAATGAATATTTTCAATGTTACAAAATTTGTTCATGCTAATTTTGATTGAAACCTTTAAATCCCCGTGTCTGTCAAATTTAGGAGCAAGCTTAGTTCATCCATCAACCTTCATTCAACTTTTCATTGTCGAAAATAAGAAAAAAATCTTGTTTCCTCGTGAGGAACTTTTTATTGAATCTAAAATTAATTTTGGGTTTGTTTTGAATACTTTGGGGCTGTTCATTTATTATGTAATGTGTAAAACGACTTTCTAGACCCCCTCTTCCCCCGTTGTAAAAAATCTTAGAAGTCCCCTCCCCCTCCCTTAAAAGCGTCATGTAATAAGTGAACGGGAACTTTGCTTATTATTAAGAAGTGGTTAAAAAAGGAATAATTCAAATATCTCTCAATTAGATTATACGTGAACGGTCCCTTCTGGAAAAACATAATTTGTAAGCGACTCTATTTATTAAATCCATAAATAGCTTTGAAAAATGTATGAGCCAGACAGATAATGATTTAATATCTCCAGATTTTGTGGAGGAGGGGTTTTGTAGGGGGGAGGAGGGGTTTGAAAAATTGTAACAAAATGTAACATAGGGGGGGGGGGGGGGGGGGGTGTCAAGAAGAATGTAACGTTCTAACTGTCGTCTTTCTTTTAAAAAAAAGTTCACGAAAAAATTTGAATTATGAACGTCCAGGGGGGGGGGGGGGGGGGGGTGTGAGTTGTAACATGTTGTAACAAGGGCAGGGGGCGAAAAAAGTCGGTTTTTTGCGTAAGGTAATAAGTGAACGGCCCCTTAGGACACTGAATTTTATGGAATTTCTGGTGCACATTTGAGAATACAATAGATCAACTGTTTACCAAATTTCCATTCATACTACGACTTAAAAATGTCAAATTCTAAAAATACAAAACGGCATTTCCATATCAATTCATCAACACGACTGCTAAATGCTTTTGAGTACATCAGACTGCTCTTTACAGTTCACGAACAAAAGAGTTTTTTTTTTTGTCTGATGAAAGCGAACGCAAAACCATCATATGAGTACGAAAATACACCAAAAAGGTATCTACGAAAACAGATGTGGTCAATGGAGTTGAAATAAAAAATGACCGACAATAACTTTTGGGTGTTTGACTGAATTTCGGAGAACTAAAAGGTCCGAAATAAAAAAAATTGTTAACTTTTGTTTATTTTCAATTATTTCATTCTCACAGTGGCGTTGGTATGTGTTTGAGAAAGGACCAGTCGGTATGAACTCACGCTGGTGGGATTTACGTTTGCGATTTCAAGGAATTATCCCACCCGATGTCCGTACATCGCAACATTTCGATGCCGGTGCTAAATATCATGTTATTTCTGATCAGGACTACATCAAATATTTTGTAGCAACAATTTTACAATTTCAAATTTATGCTGAATTGTGTTCAGCTGCCAATCACATCGGTCCATTGCACACATGCGACTTTTATCGATCACGGGAAGCAGGACGATTATTGAGGTAAATAAGAGAAAATCAATCCTTTTCATCCTTTCTTCTTCGTCTTTTCGATCTTGTGTGAATTGCTATTCTTCTTTTTTATGTGCTTGTTCTATCTGTGATATTGATTGATTGACTAATCGTATACGATGCTGGGGCTTTGAAAGTTAGACAATCCTATTCATATATTTGGATATATTTAGATTTATTCATGAGAGAGAAAACCTTTAATACAAATTAATTGGACGAAAATTAAAGTATGAATAAGGAAAATTGCATCATAAAAACTTTTCCTTTGATTTTCCACACAATTTTCCACATGAACCTCATTTAAAAGCAAAACTAATTAATTTAATGTAATTACTTTGAAGCCTTTTAAACTGAAATAATTGTGTGAATACTCATAGGGATTCACAAGCAATTAAAAGTGAAAAATTTCATAAAAACTAATTAGCAACGTTCCTGTGAATTTTATATGCTTGACTAATAATATGAATTTTTCACAATTTATTGCTTTTTGAGCAGGCATGCTTATGCATTTGAAAAGCTGAGAAATAATGAATAGAAATATGGCTGCAATAATGTGTGGCGTGCATAGTTTGCACCCAAAGGACTCAACACCCTTTTATATGACTTGGTTACTGGTTATTAAGATATGAGATCTTTAGTCTAGGCCTTTACCAAAAACTTACATGATATATGATTTATTGACAAATCTTACAAATTTAGAAGGTGACTTGGAACATAACATACATACATCGCTGGCTTTACAGATCATTTGTGATTAACATAGCCTCCCTTAGTTGACGTCTGAAAAAGACTTTGTCACTGGCTACTCTGGCAGGCTCTGTTAATCACAAATATCAAATGTTATGCTATCTCTGTCAACATATATCTGTCCTGGAATTTTTTGGTCATCTGCGCAGTGTCTTGGGATCCTAAAAGTTGCCCTAAACCCTTCTAGACTTGTCTTTAATACAAACCGTCATGCAACAACCATTAATGCTGGATTGATCGATCAGCTAGAATAGCACAAGTCGGAAAATCGAACATTAATCAGGCCAAAATCTGGTGTTAACCGATTAATTTCTATTCGAGCCAGTTTTAAGAATTTATCATCATTTTCATCAATTTCATTCTTCTTTAGCCCCGACCAATACATGTCAACTCAAACAATACAACTCTACGAATCAACCAGCACCCTCACAAATCCATATCCACATCTTAATTTTATGATATTTTTGTATTCACATTTCAGTGATTTTATGCAACGTGGTGCTTCCCTTTCATCCTCACAACTTATAAAATTAATCACGCGTGGAAAGACGTCTCGATTATCAGTTGATCCATTGTTGGAATTTTTCCGTCCACTTGAAGCATGGTTAGAAAGTCAGAATCGTGATGAAAGCGTAAGAACCAATGAATTTTAGGAAATAATCAAGAATCTAAAAATGGATTTACATTTTTTTTCTAGATCATTGGATGGTCTTCTAACATGGATGATGTGCAGCTATTTCAATACATTGGATTCAATCATGCGACGGATAATTTAAATTTACGACTCAATAAACTGTTAACTATAATTTGTTCCATGTTGATACTAAAATTGATGTAACTGTTGAATGTAAAATAACGCAGCTGGAAATATTGTAAAATTCAATTCGTGTATGCAGTTCTGTTCTGCTTATGACAATAAAGTAATATTTTGTTTTCAAATATTTTTTCAGAAACAATTTTTCATAGCGCGAATTTGTGTTGACTATTGTTTGCAATGTTGAACAGTCGAGTTTATTCCACTGTGGCATCAGCAGTTCGGTGCATTATTTGTCTATAAAATTTGCAACAATTATTGAAGTTGAAATAATTTCATTTGTACAATTTTATGAATATTTATAGCATGTTAAAAATGAATAATATTATGGTCGAAAATGAATGAGTTCTGGTAAATTTGATAGTGTGTATAATGATTTAATAGATCTAGAGGATTTATTTGAGTTTTGTAAATTCGTAAAATTTATTTCCTGTTGATGTTTGTAATTATGGTTTTGGTATGCATATATGCTGTTTAAGTTGATTCTATGGTATTAATGGATAATGTTACATGTTTAATGATGTCCGTAGCTAAATGTTCGAGATTATATTCAAGAGTTTGAATCCATCTACACAAAACTATCACTAGTTCTTAATAGGAAACTTTGTTTTTCTAAAAAAAAAAAAACCACAGCACAATAATGGCAAGTGTTCCATCTACAGCAAGCAATCAACCATTCTTTCAATCCATTAAAACAATTCCGTACTCAAATTTCATCCTCATTTAACCAAAAATAATTACTTTTTTTACCGAACATTAAATTCTGTCATGAAATATCAACTTCAAACTATATTTATGGGTTGTGAATATTGATTTCACAGCTGCACACAGAAAATATCCGTCTATAATAATGCTGTTATCGAGTTACTTTCTTTTTCTTTACGTTTAATAATGAACACAATCACTCAGCTGTTCTCAATTCCCATGTAAGTTTTCATTACGCCATTAATCAGTAAGAAAAAGTAGAAAATGGATTTTTTTCTGCTTATTTACAAAAGTGTAGATGAGTGTTTTAGGATATGAAACTGAGAAATGTAATTTGCTGTTGGTTGAGGACTTTAATGGAAATTGACATTGTTTAAGAAATGAAAAGATTTATGATTTTGGAAATGGTTTTTAATTGTGGAAATTGAACCTGTTAATGAAAGCTTGAGTGCCAAATAAATTGAAAAAAAAATCATCAAGTTGTAGCTTAACTTAGGCGAAGATAAAAGAGTAATTCAGTACCCTGGCAGTACCTGCTTACTGTAACAGCAACCATCTTCGTTCAATTGGTGACATAGTGAGATGAACTATAGCAACTGATCTTGTCCTTTCGATTTAATTGAGGGTAAGAGATTGTTCCCGAATGGCAAAAATCGGTAAATCGATCAGAAATATAGCACCAAGCTGACGCAACTCTGGCATGGTGCTGGATTTAAATCGAAGCTAGCATCATGTCGAGTCATGCAGGCTGGGCGTTAGATTTCTATTCAATTAACCGACTTGTGCTATTCGGGGTTACGACGATCGATGAATTCTACAAAAGAGACTAAAAAAGTCTTCAAAAAACTGTAGTTTACAATAAAAACCAATCATAATTGATGACTGAAGAAGCTAAATGATCGCATTATATCTGTAAAGCCAATAAAATTATAAAGCATTCTAACGCCAATAATTCACACTCAACAATACATCCAAATAGTTTCCAAACCTTTGACAACAAGCAAGTTTATGCAACGAAGAAGATGGGAAAAAAATTAAATCAATTTCCCATGAGCAAGAAAAGCACTTTGCTACATGAGTGAAGGCTAAATGGACGAAACAAGAAATAATAAGATTGTTTTCATTATTATTCCTTCAGGGCTGCTTGTTGAAAATTGTTTGACGTTATTTGTGTGAAAAACCATTCAATTTCAGCTCCTTTTGTCGCTTTATTATAGTCGTGATTGCTGCTTGATGAAAATAAAATAATTTTCTATGTCTGATACTTAATGTCACACAATTATATTTGCTTCATGCTTGTGATTCAGTAAATTGGTGCTTTTTGCAACTCTTTGTGGTTTTTGAGGTTTGGAAGTGACTGAATGACGGAGATTGGTATGGATGATTCTGATAAATAAGCTATAAACAGTTTAGTACGAAGAACATCCTGAAAACTTGTCAGTATCCTCTTTTAAACAAGTTGATAGACATAATAATTATTTTGGTCCTTAATGTTAGCAAAAACAATTTATGACTCATCATAAAAATGGAAGCCCTGAAAATTGGATGTTGAAAAAACTTTTTCCATTGTCATAAGACGGTTATTAAGATAATTGCTTCATTTATGATTCTCAAAAGGAGATTTTTCCATCCGTTCCTAAGCAAGACGAAGACTGAATGAAAAAGTCTACGAAGCAATGAAAAAATAATAAAACGAGACATAAAATTTTGAATTTTTTATATTTTTAATTTTCAAGAAATAAATTTTTTTGTGCTTAGCAATTTAACGGCAGTAAAAGTATTTCAGGATTGTAAAGAATGATGAAAATTGATATTTTTATGTTCATGTTAAAAATGAAGATTTTCCGCAGGAAATTTTTCTATTATGCTTAGCTTCCCGTTCATATTAAGTGATTAACTTCTATAGGAAATGATATTCTTGCCTGTCTGCATCTAAGACTACGCATAAGCTTTCCAGAGCTGAGCAATCTCTTCAACATATGCATCAACATTTAAAATCAGCTCTTCATAATTCATACGAATCCTTTTCTCGTCCCATAGTTCCACATCCATACAACATTCACATATCCTTTAAAAATCTTTAAGCCATTCTTCTCCATCCACTCGTGTAGATTTTGTAGTAAATGCCCATGAATATAAGCCTCTTAATACGCCCAAGTGAACTGCTTATAGCAATTTTGTATGCAGACTTTCGTCATTGAGTATCTCGAACCCTAAAATTCTTCTTCTTCTATTTTCGGTTCACTTTCTTACTATAGAAAATTTTAGAATTTTTTTTTTCTTATTGTTTGAACTTAAATTTGAATGAAAATAAATATTTATATCCATTTGCCTTAAAAAAGTTTTAAAACTATTTGACATTAATTAATGAATCATTTAGTATAATTGCTGTACAATGAATGAAGCAGGTAAGGTAAAGTTTTTATGCTCATTTTAGCATTGAAAATATGTAAAATGTGTCTAATTAGCTCAGTTTGATACACATGATGGATAGATGTTACTGAATTCAGGGCTTAATTAATGGTTGAGTTGGAAACCCGATCGCACACATTGAAATGATTGCCACCCTACGGCAGGGTTGATAGTATAATTAGAACCAAGCGAAAGCCAGTTGGAAATGGTAACGATCTTTTCTTATGCATAAGAGGTTTTTTATAGCTTAGTCTGAAGCTGGTTTTTAAGGACATTTAGGTGAACTTAAGAAGCAAAGCTATGACCCATTGCCAAGCTAAAACATTGGAGAGTAAAATGATTTCCTTTTTTGAGATTTTCATCAAAATATTCGTAAAACTGTCTTTTGCCAGTCTTTTAAATTAAATTTGTTTCCCCTTCTGAAATTTCATTTACAATGATTTTCTTACTTTCTATCCAACAACATTCATTAGCTCCAGAAAAATGTGTAAACAAAAATTTCAAAGTGAAAACAGAATTCCATGTCTTTCTATTAAACTAGAGATGTTAAAGGAATCTTAAACAATTTATCATTCGGATTGAAGGTTAGGTTTCATTTTGTGAGAATGAGAATAACAAAAGAGAAAGTATAAGGGTCAGGAACATAAAACGGTTTGGGAAATTAAAAAAAGTAAGAAGTTTTTGTTCTACATTTGACCTTTAATGTTTCATTTTTATAAATTAAATGATAGACAAAGTCTGTGGATTTTCCTGAGATGAGTGAAGTTTATTATAATTAGAAGTGGGAAATGAAAAATTTCTCGCAAAGCTGCAAAAAGTTTCCATGTAGTAAAACCTTTCAACAATGATTTTGCATTAAACATTCCGAAAAGTAATATTTCCATAGAATAATTAATGAGTTTCCGTATTCTCACAACAGGAAAAAAGAAAAGCAAACGAACGAATGAATCTTAAGCAGTCTTCAGAATGAATAAGAAATTCGTGGAAAGATGAGAATCTTATTCGATTTTTATCTTATTTTATAACAAGGATTTTATTCATATGGGAAATAGAATGAATGATGGCATTAAAAAAAAGAATATCATCAGATTATTACTTATATTTTCTTACTAGGTATCTTAGGCGCATTGATTGAGGTTCATTAAAGGTTTTTGTTTTTTGAACGATGTTAAGAATGCAAATATATCTTTAGAGGTCGTTCTCTTATGATATAGTGACTTGCTATAGACGTTCATTTATGACGTCCAGGGGAGGGGGTCAGCAAGAAAAGAACAAAGAGAAATTCCTGGAAACCTTTTGTTCTTTTTTGGACGTCATAAGTGAACAATCCCATAAGTTAAATGCTGAAACTACAAAATATGTCGGGATTATTTTAGAAGCCTAAGCCAATGTCAATATTTATTGATCTGTTAAATATTAAAATTTTAGCCGACTAATAAAATATGAAAAATAAAGACTTAAGAAAATTTTGTGAATTCATCGAATGGGTTCAAATCCCAACGAACTCACATTACGTTTGATTAGGGTGACCATCTAATTTTTATGAAAATACAGGACATTTGATAAATTTCCTAAAAAATACAGGACACAAAGGAAAATTTGAAAATTAACGGAAATTTTCGTGAAAAAAATACAGGACCTGGAACAAAATTTTCAAATTTATACAGGACAGGGTTTTGAAATACAGGACTGTCCGTTGTAAAACTACGCAGATGGTCACCCTACGTTTGATACGTAAAATCAATTGTCGTTTTTTGTATTTTATTTTATGCAAAAGAAACAAATGAATCTAGTATGACTTATGTTGAAAATTATGTGACATCAACGCATCCATGCTTTATAGTTATTATTTATTTGAAGTCATAAAACTTTTTCTCTATTTTCCATGTTTTTTTATATGCACTATAAACTTTTCTTTTCGTTCCTTTTTTCATCCTTAAGAAGAATATGATCTACAAAGTTGGTTAAAATCTAAGGAA